GGTCAGCTGCTGCAGAACTCTTTCAGAGTAAAGGTCAGTTTTAGGTGTGCTCCATAGTATTTTTTTAAAAATATTTTATTTATTTATTTCTAGAGAGAGAGGAAGGGAGGGAGAAAGAGAAGGAGGGAAACATCAATGTGTTGTTGCCTCTTGTGCACCCCCAACTGGGGACCTGGCCCACAACCCAAGCATGTGCCCTGATTGGGTATCGAACCAGCGACCCTTTGTTTTTCAAGCTGGCAGTCAATCTACTGAGCCACACCAGCCAGCACTGCTCCATGTATTTTCTTATTCAGAGACCCTATTTGGAGCAGATCATTCTCATGGCAGCCAGCACAAGACTAAGGGATTGACCTGAATGTTGCATGTGGATTTAAGGTAGTTAGTATAGGTCACATCTGCTCACAAACCATTGGCCAGGGCAAGTCACATGACCAACAGTAATAATACAATTGACCACAGTATTCAAATTTGTGTTGAGTACCTTATTTACATCTGAGGTTGTTTTCAATCTTAGCCTTCAAGAAAAATCCTCATTAGCAACCTTTGGCAATATAAGCATCTCCATGGATTCTTATGAGGCTCAAGAAAAGAAAAAACCTCAAGCCAAATCTCTCTCATTCTAGGTCAGCGTCGAAATACATTCTGTGGGAAAGATTATCCTGACTGTTGGTGCTTAAACTGACTTGGAACAAAACCCATCTCATTCTTATAAATGAATAATTAAATACTAGGCAGAAGCGATGAATTTTTATTGGCGTTAAAATTGGACAGGTAGCCCTGACCAGTATGCCTCAGTTGGTTGAACAACATCCCGCAAAGAAAAAAGGTCCCTGGTCTGATTCTTGGTCAGGGCACATGCGTGGGTTGCAGGTTTGGTCCCCAGTCAGGGTCCATATGAGAAGGCAAAAGACTGATGTTTCTCTCTGTCTCTTTCTCTGTCCTTTCCTCTCTAAAATAAGTAAGTAAATAAACATTTAAAAAACTTGGTTAGTTAAAAAGTTTTATTGTAAAATGTTATTCTTAAAGTCACTTCAGTAGTAACAAATTGGCAAGATATGTATATCTTATCATAGCAAATGGGTGTTATTGGATTTTTCTCAGTTACAGTACAGAATCACGCATTATAGTTTCTATTTATATTGTGATTACATTGAAAATACTAGATTGATCATTTCCTGGAATCATGGAATATTAGATTTGAAAGTATCTGAAAAGCATGTATTTTTCAACTATAGTGTACTGGTACATCATTTTGTGGCAATCAGTTGGGAAGTATGTCAAAATCATTAGTTATTCATGATAAGGAACCACTGCAAGCAATAGTTAAAATATAGAAGATTGTGAAAGAGATACTTATATATGTTTCCCTATAAAATCTTCACTTTCACCTACTTGCATTCTGATTTCTTGAGTGTGGTGGAAGAGTTGCAGCTAGTCTGACAAGAATTTGAATAATCTTATGTATACCATGACACTTTGTTTCAAATATGAACATCATCAACTGGACAGAAAGGTTGAGTATCATTCCTTAAAAAGCATAAAGTTCAAGAAAAGAAAATAACTTGAAATGCAGGAAATAATTTATCTAGTCATATGTCTAATGAGCTAAGTCTATAACCTAGACCTCTTTGTTTCCAGTACAGCACTTTTCATTACAATAAATGACCATTCCTTTTCAACAGCCAATATAAAAAAGTGGGGTTTTTAGGCAGGAGAGGATTAGACAAGGCAGTTTTCCTCATATTGCTAATCTTCCGTCCCAGTTCCAAAGTAAAGGAAAAGTACCAGAGAACAGAGCCCAGATGGTGTATTTCATGTTATCTATGCTCTAGGAACATTCTTTATCAAATTTATTTGATTGTAACTTTCAAGAGAAAATACAGTTTAAATCAACAGCTACATGCAAAAAATTGAAATTTGATCATCAGCTGACAGCATACACAAAAATGAACTCAAGATGGATGAAAGACTTAAATAGAAGTCGCAACACCATAAAAGTCCTAGAGGAGAACATTAGCAGTAAACTCAGATATCCCACGCCACAATATTTTCACAATATGTCCCCTGAAGCAAGGGACATAAAGGAAAGAATAAACAAGTGGGACCTTATCAAAATAAGAAGCTTCTGCATGGCTAAAGAAAACATCAGCAAAATGAAAAGGGAGCCAAGCATATGGGAAAATATATTTGATAATAATATATCAGATAGAGGTTTGATCTCCAAAGTATATAGAGAACTCACGCGACTCCACTCCAAGAAGACAAACAATCTAATTAAAAAATGGGCAAAGGATCTGGGCAGACACTTCTCCAAGGAAGAGATACAGAGGGCCCAGAGACATATGAAAGGATGCTCAGCATCACTAGCTATCAGAGAGATGCAAATTAAAACCACAATGAGATATCCCATCACACTGGTCAGAATGGCCATCATAAACAGATCAACAAACAACAGGTGCTGGCAAGGCTGTGGAGGAAAGGGAACCCTAGTACACTGCTGGTGGGAATGCAGACTGGTGCAGCCATTGTGGAAAACAGTGTGGAATTTCCTCAAACAGCTGAAAATGGAACTGCCTTTTGATCCAGTGATTCCCCAGCTGGGACTATACTCTAAGAACCCCAAAACGCCAATTCAAAAGAACCTATACACCCCAATGTTCATAGCAGCGCAATTTACAACAACCAAGTGTTGGAAGCAACCTAAATGCCCATCAGTAGATGATTGGATCACAAAACTATGGTACATTTACACAATGGAATACTACGTAGCAGAAGGAATAAAAGAACTACTACACTTCGCGACAGCATGGATGGAACTAGAGAGCATTATGCTAAGTGAAATAAGCCGGGGGCGAAAGACATATATCATATAATCTCACCTATAAGTGGAACCTAAACAACAAAACAAAGATGCGAGGAAAATATAACCAGCAACGTTGAAAGAAAAAAACCAACGGAATCAAGAGGAAAGGATGGGGTGGGGCGGTGGGGAAAGGGAAGGCAAGGGTCAAGTCAAAGAACATATATCAAGGACTCATGGACAAAGCCAAAGTGGGGAAGGACTGAGGGAGGGCAGGGGAAAGTGGTGGTGGGAAGGCGGAAACAAATGTATTTGAACAAAAAAAAAATAAATTAATTAAATAAAGAAGAAATACAGTTTAAATCACAACATAGAACGCCCTCTTCCCCTCCCTCTTAAGACAAAAGTTTCATAAAGCAATACTTGCCCTTACTGGATATGCACTGATATTTTATACAGTATTCTATTCCATTAAAAAGTAAAATCATCTTGGCTGGGTAGCTCAGTTGGTTAGAGTAGCATCCTGATATGCCAAGTTTGTTGGCTAGCTTCCCCGTCAGGGCACGAGTAAGAATCAACCAATGAATGCATAACTAAGTGGAGCAACAAATAGATGTTTCTCTTTCTCCATCTCTCTAAAACCAATACATTAAAAAAAATAAAATTGATTTTTGAGTGAGTTTTGAAAAAAACTGCTCTGGATAAATAGGAGACAGGTGTCAGTCTGTTGACAAACCGCAGTTACTAGCTCTGCTGAAATAATATCACTCACAGAATAAAAAACTTCCCTCATACTCATTGAACCACAAGTACCATCTCTCAGACTTCCAAACAGAACTTGTAGAATCTTTTCCTCATTGGAACGCCAATTCATTACAATATCATAGATTCTAGGACTCATTGTTTTTCACATTTTAACATCTCTAAACTCAAGACGGGTCTTTTAAAAATCAGTGGCATAGCATAGTTTAATTGATAGTGTTTCTTTTCTTTCTTGAGTAACATGAAATAATGGTGAGTCTTAAACTCCATTTTTTCTTAGTTTCTATGAACTATATTAATAATAAGAATTATATAAGGCCAAACTCTATTGCTTATTTATTTCAAAGTATCCAGTTGATCAGAAAATTTTTTGACATCTTGCTGAGAAAATGTAGTGAGATGAAAACTGCCTAAGAAACAAAGCCTTAGCTATGGCCTGGAAGGAAACGTTACAAATGGAGTTTAATATTAAAGAAAGTTTTCTCATGTGTCTTCTTGTTAGGGTCTGATTATGAACTTTCTGCTTTTCTACCTTATTTCTGTATTGTTACTTTCCTTTTGTGACTAGCATTTTTCTCTTTTCCTCTCATCAACAGGGTTCAGAGGCAGAGCTCCTCTGAAAATGGTTAAAAAAAAAAGGCAAAAGATTATGTCCAAAATTAAGGTACCTAAATCAAGAATTAGCATTTATTATAAAAACGGAACGGATTGCCAAATTTAACTGCCACCAACCTAGCACGTTGTAAAAGTTAATGACTGTAAAATTGGCATGAAGGATCCTGAAACAAGACTAGGTACACACACAAAAAAAGGTTTGGTAGGACCATTTTCATTCTAACCTGATTGAAATGCACCATCTTTTCCTTAAAACTAAAAATCCCTAATGAAAAAACAGTAAATTAAATGCTACATTGAACGTTCTACTAGAAATAGGAACAAGCAGTTACTGCTTTTCAAACCAGACACCATAAGATTTTTTTTTTTTCTTTGTTTGGTTAAAACGTGAGCCAGGCCCAAGGGTGGGGATGCGGGTCTCAAGCTCCGGCCTCAAGAGTGAGGGTGAGCTCCTGAGCCCTGAGCAGGGCGCTCTACTGTGCAGTCTTCTTAAATTGAGCAGGACCCAGTACGACCGGTACAGAAGGCCTCGCCTCATCTTGCCACAGGCGTGGGCGGGAGGCAGTGGGCTCGTATCGCGCGGCCGCTCTCGGGTGTGCAAGGCTTCTTTGTGGCGATAAGCCTGGAAGAACAAGATGCTGTTAGACCTTTGCGAGCGGTTACCGCCTGCCCCGCAGGGAAAGCGCGTAGGCTGCCGCCTCCGCGCGCCGTCACGTGACGAGAAGGGGGTGTGGCCGGAGCCCGAGCGCTGTGGGGCGGGACCAGGATAGGGAGGGCGCTGGACTGTGAAGGATCGCCGAGGCTGTGGGTTCCCAGAGAGGCGGCGACACGGCCGATGACAACATTAGGCCGCGACGCCCTCCAGGCCGGGTGGTAGTGGTAGCGGCAACCCTAGCGGCTGCAGCGTTAGCTTTCGCCGCGGCAGCTGCCGCCACCGGTACCCCGCAGACACAGGGACAGTGGGGGCCCAACCTCGCCGGCGGACTGCGGGGCCGGAGTTCTCGTCTTACTGGAGGGTCGAGCCTGCAGCGCCTCCGCAGCGGTGAGACAGAGCCTTCAGTTTGGGCTCTCTTTCCCCCTGCCGCCGGCGACAGCAGCCGAGAGAAGTTGAGGTCGGACCGGACGTGTGCAGGGCCCCAGGAGAACCGGTCACCTGTGCCCCGCCAATCCGGGGTCTCCGCATCGGTGAGTGTCGCGTGGGTTCCTAAGTTGGGGGGGCGGTGGGTTCGCACCCCTACGCGACTGCACCTCCGTATCCTCATGTTCTGATCTTGGGCCGGCGAGGACTCCGGGTAGTCCGCACCGAGGAGTTTCTCTTTGGCTTCTTTGTTCCTTTGGAGTGGGGGATTCTAAAGGCTGGCGGGGGTGGAGTGTTTTGGGGCCCACCAAAGGTACGTCTGCCGCCATACAAAGCCGCGGCAGGGGCTAGGGGGAAAGGTATGAGCATTTTGGCCGCTGTGAATGTCTGCCTCTTCCCGAAGTTCGGGCGGACTGCAGGGTCTCGCCGGAAGCCCCTGCGCCCAGGAGAGCTGGCGCTGTCACTTGGTTGCGGTTAAGGCGAGGCTCGGGTTTTCCTGTGACTACCCGGGTGGAGGCTGTGCCGCGCGCCGCAGATTGCACCCGCCCTTGCAGAGCCGGATGACACAGTGTTGTTCCTCTGAACCTAAGTACCTGTGGCCTTGTAACATAAGAGAATTGCGAAGCTTTGGCTGTACTTTTAATTTAAAGTTTGTTTCAAAGCCCATTCTCAAGAGTGGGATCAGGTTCCAAGGAGCCTCACTTACGGAGTGTGCTTTTGGTTCATTGAGACACCCACTCAAGACCGGGAGAGGCGAAGCAACTGTATATGCATATTTTCCATTCACAAAAGTCGTTTAACACTATGTATGCGAGGCATCTGCGCTGGGGAACGTACCTAATTTCATGTTTCTAGATGCTGTCCGAAATAATAGGCATTGTAACTTGGGTTCCTACTTAAACAGATTAGAAAACTTATCTAACTGATGATACACACATGTTTGATTTAAAAACAAAATTTAACGGAGTTTTTGCCTTTCTGATGCTGGAAGACTTAAATGACATCTGAGTAATATTAGACTTCCCTGTGTATGATAGTATTACTAACTTCCCTCGAAACTTAGCCTCAAATTAGTGCCCCTTAGGTCTTTTAAAATAACCATTTTAAACTGTTTTTTGGACTTTTTAGGATTCCAAGGAGAGCAAGGATTGTGGAGGAACATGAATAAATTGCTTATTAGGGTTTGTGCATCCCATCAGGCATCTAAACTGATCACACTGAGAGTCCATGGTCAGTTTCTGTGCTTGCTAGAACCTGTTTTGCAGTGAAATTATTAAGATCTTGCTAGTTTTGCAAAACAGGTTGGGAAGGGAAGAATAAGGGAATGCAGTTTGTCTTCTATTGAAGGTACAGTTAATTTCAAATATTTGTTACCTTTCTTTTTGTTAACAACTATGGATGGAATGACTACAATATGTGTGTTAAAGGTACTGGGAAAGGGAGTAGATGAAACATAAGAACTACCTTTTAGGTCTTTAATTATGCAGATTAAGTCTTTGCGGTCAGATTCCATGTGAACTGTTTGAGCCGCAATACATTGTACACAGGTGCTTAGAAATGTCTGTTAATTAAAAATGGTCATGGTTTATTTCTCTTTCATTGAATCATAATATTGTCTCTGTGATCTGTCAAAAGATGCTGTATTTTTTCGTTGAGAATGTTACTGTATTTTAGAGGCAAAGAAATATGTTTCTTAAAACATATTTATGGCACTTGTAAATTTGGCAATATCTATTTTTTTTGTTCATTTTGAATTGAGAAACCTTAAAGTATACTTTAGGGATAAACTTACAATTCTAAAGAAAAGTAATAAATGCACCAAGCTATGAAAAAAAAAAAAAGAAATATGCAATTCTGTGTAGTGCAGGTATGTTTTAGTTTGTTTTGATTTAAGGAAAAAGTGATAAAATTATGAATTTACAAAACCTTCATTACAGAAGGACCTTTTTTTAAAGGACAGATTGCAGAATTTCTTTAACTATGGAATGCTCTTAGTACACTTAAATTTGGTTTGCTTATAAATAATCCTCTAAGCAGGTTACTTGTATTGCAGCATGAAGGAAAGGATGAAGAATTGGTACTTAAATGTAGCTTTCTGATATTGCTTTGGAAAATTCTTATCCTGATAGCAATACCTGAAGTATTATCTTTTAATATTTATATTGTGATATATAAAACTTAATGTATTTGTAGCAATGATATCCGGGCATGGGGGATTCAAAAGTAAAAGACCATAGGCTCTATTTTATTCTTAGGAATATGACCTACAAATATTATATAAATACAAGTTACATAAAAAGTCTCTGAGTACTTCATTAAGGAAGGTGGCAGTGTACAAGGAGATTGATGGAGGTCCTTGATTGTTGCAACTGGGGCTGAAGTATAGTTTTCTTGTAGATGGGGCACAGAAAGAGATGCCTGGACTAATGTGTAAAGATTTCATGTCAGTATGTGGGAAACCTTGAGAGATTTTAGATTTCGCCCTCCTTCCACCTTGGCCCCCAACCCCTTATATATCTTCTCAAATGCATGAAGTTGAGGGTATCATCTGGAAGACAGAATAGAAGGGATTTTTTTTTCTCCCTGAAAAATGTTATCTAGTTTGCAGGCTTTCTTCCGAGACCTTGTAGGGAAGGAATCCTTGTCCTGGAACATCATACCCTTATATGCTGTGTTATTTTTACCTTTGTTAAAGTTGCAAACAATGAAATCTCTCCATGATAGCAAGGATCTTGTCTATTTTGCTCACGATTGACGCTGAAAATGCTTGATAGTTATTGAATGAAAAAATGTAGTTGAGACATAAGACTAGGAGAAAAAAGAGGCATGTTTGATAATGAAATCCAATGTAGATACCATGTAAGCAATGAGGTGATAAAGAAGGATGTTGGCTTAGGAGGAGGGGAAGCAGGTCATTTAATCAGGGAAACTTTCTTGGAGGAGGTGATTCTTGAGTTCAGTCTTGCAGAAAAGGTTACAATATCTGAAGATAAGTAAGTTTTCTAAGAGAGTAGACAGCATGAGCCAAAGCATTTAAATGGGACCGACTTGGTAATCACGCCATATTAAGCTGAGTGAGTTATTTTTGGTACCATGAAGAATTTTTCTTCTCTCACAACTATTGCTTCTCCCAGATAAGTAGATTGACACACTTTAGAAGAGCTAAGGGTTAGAGTACTTGAGTTTGAAAGTGACAGTGGTGCAGCGAAAGCAAGAGAATTGAACCAGGGATCGGAAAATTTGAATTGGATTTCTGATTAGATCTTACATAAGCAAGTGTCCTTGGGCAAATCACTGAGCCTTAGTTTTCTCATTTGGAAAGGGAGGATAATAATCCTTACCCCCAATGCTTGTTGGGAGAATGAAATTACATAATATATATGAAATTGCCCACCTCAAATCAACAAACATTAAATTATTTAAAACATTTCTTTGTCTTTAGATTTTTAAGAAATATTTTGGTGTATTTATCAAATTCAGTATCTACTTGACCTTTGAGTTGACCCTTGTATTACCAAAATTTCAAAATTTTGGATGCTTAGTCTTCTTTCAATCAAGTGTATGCTTTCTACTAGAAATGAGGCCTTGTATTCTTAATATTAACACAAAGAATGGCAGGCACCTCAGATTTTTAAAGCTTCAGGTAAGGGATATGTATGACCAAAAAGCTGAGTCTTTAAGCTTTTCTTCTCTACAGAATTTGTTTTTGAAGAAATTGCTCTTATCTATTATGCCATCTATTCATTGTTGTGAAGAAATGGGATTTTCCTGCTATTAAGAAGAAAAATTACCAAAAATGTCTTCTATATGTTTATAGTGATCTGAGTGATTGTAAACTATGAAGGGTCTCTACCTGTTGTGCTTTATTTTAAAACTCAATATTTTTGAGCAGGCTAATAGGCTTCTGCATCATTTCTTCTCTAAACTCTTTGTTCCAGTAGCTGTTTGTTCTTTTATGAATCTAAAAATTTTATTATACTTTGTGAAGTCTGTGCAGTGTTTATAATCCAAGGAGCAGTCTATCCTTTGTATGATATTTGGAAGGGATTTTTAATTTTTTTAAAAAAGATTTTATTTATTTATTTTTAGAGAGAGGGGGAGGGAAGGAGAAAGAGAGGGAGAGATACATTGATCCGCAGACTCTTGCATGCTCTCTGTGGGGACCTGGCCCGCAACCCAGGCATGTGCCCTGACTGGGAATTGAACCAGCAACCTTTCGGTTCACAGGCTGGCACTTAATATACTGAGCAACACCAGCTATGGCTGGAAGGGATTTTTATTATAAAAAGACTAAAACGAGTCTGTGTCTTGAAATGGTAAAGAAGTCAGTTACCCTCCATCTTCCATGTTCACAAAGGACTGGAAAAAAAAAAAAAGAGGAAATAGCTTTAGAGCTTGAAGAGTTTTCCAAATAAGAGGAGAAACTTTTTGACTTACCGGTTGTTAAACACTTGATAGATTCAAAGGGAGATTGTATAGCTCCCAAAGTTGACTTAGTAGGAATGGGTGAACATCATTCTAACAAAATGTGGCTAACATGTTGTGACTGTTAACCCATGTTTTATTTTAAAATTATTTGGCATGTCCCTTGATTCCCCCCACCCCTACACTGCCCCCTGCCCCAAATCAGGCCACTTTCTTGTGCTTTGTAAACCTCAGGCCCTGAGAGCTTAAGTAGTAGGTAGTAGAGCCAGGATTTGAACTAAACTGAGTCGCTGGGAGCCTAAGTAGTCAGTGGTAGAGTCTAGCAAAAGGATTTGAATTTGAAATTTAATGAAACTTTTGACTTCAAAGCCTCTCCTTTTAACCACTGAATTATACTGACTTGTAGAGTTTATTTGCAGTTGCCCCTTATAACAGGTTTTGACATTGTGATATTTGTGAGTTTGTTTCAACTATGATCTGATGAAAATACATTTTATAATAAGATGGCATATAGTCTCGTTTTTTCCCATTTTGTATGTATTTGACTGATATCCTATTTTTTAAAAATTTAAAAAATACAGTAAGTCAAATAATTCTTTATTATTTATTCATTTGTCATTTTTTCACTAGGAAATTCCAAGGTTTACTGGCAATATAAGAACATGGTAGGTACAGTATTTTA